TGAATAAGATAAATAAAATAAATAAGATAAATAAGATAAATAATATGATATTAAAATGAAGGCAGACAAAACTAAAAATCACATCAAATCATGCAAATTATTAAAGTAATTAATTAAATTACTAAATTGAATTGAGAAAATTAAATGAAAAAGATTAATGAGAAATGAAAATGAGAAATATAATGATATTTAATGCTGCAGGTACGAGTGTAATGATCTAAACAATCTAACACAACGAAATCAAGTTGACAAAATAAGATTGAGCCTGTATTTCGACTTCCTATGTCGTCATTGACAGTGCGCGGCGCGCCGCGTTCCAAGGATAACCACGAAAACAAATTGTTTTTGAATAAACTTCATTTGTGATGAAAAAAATTATTAAATAATGTAATCATAAGTTTTAATAACTTTGTTAAACGACCAAGGAGCTGGAAAAGGCATAAACGACACAAAACGTTTGCGACGTACGATGATTTTCGCTGACGTCGTGTCAATTCTACTTTCGTTTTGTAAAATCGATAAGAATTAAGACTAAATAATAATTTTATATCATGTTGATCGAAAAACTAAAAAAACGCTCGTGTGTGCTTGTCCAGTTTATTTTTTTCTTTTCTTAATTTTTTTTTTTTTTTAACTTTAGGGTAAAAAAGGAACGGTTTAGGTTGAATCAACGAATCGACAAGAATGTGCTTATGTCGCATTTTGTGAAGCGATGCCGAACGGATACTTTTTAAAACTTCATAATTATTTAACTAACGATGATAAAACCAGCTGAAGATCAATCAAAGTTCAAAAAGCTTTTAAAACATTTAAAAAATTCCCTCATTTATCCTATTAGGTGTAAAGTTTGTTAGTCAAACGCGAAAGCTTTGATCGGGCCTGTTGCACTGCAATCGGTATGGCTGTCAAGCGGACAACCAAACCTAGTTTCAAAACCACTGCATATCTTCACTTTGATATGAAGTAACGATCAAAAGACTAAAGAAATAGCAGAAAGAAAAACTTGTGATTGTTTAAAGGACTTTTAAAATAAGGTAGATTGCAGTTCGTGTGCCGTTTAACGATCGGTGTGAAAGAATGTCAGTGTTCGAATGTCAAAGCAAATTTAGAAACATCGTTTGGGAGCGACCAAAACTGAAACAATACTGGGGGAAACGAGCCGGGGAAAAAGCTGGAAAGCGCAATGAAATATGAAAAGTTTAAAAATTGTGAATCTTACCTTTAAAATAATGATTGTCTGACTTTTTTGACTTCGAATAACTTCTAGTGAACAGATCTTCGCAGAAGAATAACTTCCCAGCTGCTTCCCTTCACTTTTTATGACGCACTAGGATTGCTCTTTGCTTTATAGGCAGTTTCTTCAACTTCTAAATTCATCAATTACGCAATTACTTGCTGATTCTAAGAAATAAATGCTTATAAGCATTTTTAAATGAACAATGAATTATAATTATATTAATTTTTATTTCTATCAATGAGTCATCCGGGATTGTACCGTTTTGGGCTGGCCGTTGCTATGAGTAACAATCTCCAAACACTCATGCCGTTTAAACCCGTTTAACGCATAAAATTAACGTTTAAATGATGCGTTGTTTACCTCCCCCTCCCCCACCCCCTACAAAAAAGAAATGGTAACAGATTTTGCTTTGTCATGAAATTACTATGTCAGCCATGAAGCAATATTTCAAAGCCGACAATGAGGACGGGATTTCAATTCCGCGCAATTAGTTCCAGCTAGTCCGAGGCGCATACTCATTAATTATTCGGGAGATAATTTGCTTAGGATTGAAAGACTAAGGGACAGATATGTCCCTGAACTGACTTTCACAGGACTTTACCAGGTTCCAAGTAACATCATGTGACCCATGGATATTTCGGGCACGCAGGATGTCCTATTAGAACCGGTTTGAACCGGTTCGGAGGGGAAGTCCCTACTCAAATGATTATGCATATTGTCATGAACTGTTTTGTTTCATTGTTTTGTTTTTAAACATAAATCTTATTTATTTCCAATATAATTGTGCTTTTTCATGTTTTTTTTTTTTTTCAAAAAAGTTTGTCAGGGGAAAAACCAAGAGGACTGGGGATAGAGCAACTCGCCCGAAATGCATTATGGTCAAGCATGAATCAATCCAAAGTAAAACATTATCGTAGAAAATGAAATATGACATATATACATATATACTTTTTATTATCTTCAGCATCAGGCGAAGAAAGCCAGAACTTAAGAAGAACCACAATGAATTACGCTCTGGGAATTTTTGCTTGAAGTCCTTAACATCGTCCCGGCAACGAATGTGTCAAATCGGCTCAAGGATGCATACAATTACGTATACAGGACGTGTTTCTAATAAATAAGGGTTATTTACTAGTAACTTGACCCGGCTGGGATTTCGAAAGTGAAACTAATCTTGATACTGCAACTCAGCATTTATCGTTCGATGCTGAAATAAGTCATTTCCTTGCATGTCGTGCGGACGAAAGCGGTAGAAAACTAACTACAGAAGCGGATAAATCATGGAAGACTTAACAGGAAATGCTCCTGAGAAGTTTGGTGTGGGAGAGACGTTATCAGAGCAACAAAAACAGGGAAACACTGGCATGTTCTGCTACTTCGCAAATGGTGGTTGGAAAATCCGGGAAGCTCTACGAAATGCAAGCAAGTCGAGCATTATTGGCCAGCATCTTATCAACATCGAAAGCATTCTCCAAGGACTCACAGAAGATGGCAAGGAAGCCGTCCTTGATGCTTTGAAGTACCAGAAGAAGAACTGCTCCGAAGCAATGAATGATGAATGCTACAATCGACTTGGCTGCACGATGGAAGAAATGTGGGAACAGTTCGCGTTTGGGCAGATTGAGAAGAATGACAAAAGTAAAGTGCGTATTCTTCAGGAAGTAAAGAATTTTCACCAAAATGAAACTATTAAGATAAAGGAACCTCTTGAAGTAGTTTAATAGCTGGGATTGAACTACACTGGGGTAAATTCCTTTTCTGAGCTTGAGAACAAGGTACATTATACATATGTGCATTCTACCAAGGGATTAGCCAGTATTTTGATGCCGAAAGGTCATTCTTAACAAATCATCCCCACCCCTTCCCCCTAAAAGGCATGGAGGTTTCATTATACCAAATGGAAAGTGAGGTCAGAGGACCTACCCCAGTATACGTCACTGTTGATATAAGCAATTACCAGTGTATAAAGAAAGAAGATTATTAATTAGTTTGTACTAGTGAAGCTAGATCAGAATTCACGCGCTGTCTCAGAGCTGAAAAAAGGCCTAATAACGTTAGTCTGGTGTACTGCACACGCGTCTATTCTCCCGCTTAAATTTCAATGACACAGACGACGATCGCGAGGCAAAACATATGCATTTGATTTAATATAAAATATCACTAATATCAAGTAAATCCTGGAAGGTCAGGTTGTTTTTCTCAAAGCAAATTTATCACTTTATTACCTTTATTATTTCCTGCAGCAGCTTTTAAAATATAGTAACTTGTAACTTCGTTGTTGTTTTTAGTTTATAAAGCGAAAAAATGTAGATGTTGTTGTTTTCGTCTTGTATCTCAATTTTTCTTTGTCAATAGTCCCCTTCACAGTTCCCTACGCCATCTTGAAAGCCGGTAGCCGTGGCTTCGTATCGACGCGAGACGAACGGTGAGCTTGCAATGATAGAGACCTTTTTTAACACCTTGGGCAATTATTCACGGGTCTCTATCATTGGAAGCTAACCGTTCGTCTCGCTTCAATGCAAAGGCACGGCTACCTTTCAAGATGGCGCAGGGAACTGTGAAGGGGACTATTCTGGAATGAAAACAAAATTAATAGCGTTTGGAGTCTCTCGTGCTTGAGTCGTTGTTCTGCTTTCATTCAAATATCAAAACTACTATTTTTTTATTAAAATTTATATAAGACATATTTCTATTACCTAAAATAACAAACCTTCAAGGGGGGTTCCGTGGACCCCTTTGACCCCCCCTGGATCCGCCACTGATAAAATGCTTCAGCTGTGTCTAAATTACTTATTCACTTATATTCTATTATCATATAGTAAAACCCTGTATTATGCCAGGCGATTAAATATTAAAAACGATATGAGCATAGAAATTTCTGTTACGAAGTATCCTAGACTACCAAGTGTTAAAGTCCTAATGGGTAAAGAAATGGCGCTAGACACTGGTACGAGGGCGAATATGAGGGGGGGGGGGGTAAAATGACTAGCAACCCCTTTGAAATTTAAAAAAATACTAAAATTAAAGGACAATGTAAAAGCTAAAAAGGACAGTATGTGATGCCTTTCTAGGTAACAGCCACCCACTTGAAATCGTTCTGGGTCTGCCAGTATCATAATGTCATAAACTCTGTTTACATGAAGGTAGGGTGCCGCCACTACTAACAATAACTCTTTTGATCTTGGTGTCCCCTGGGAAGACTTGGGGACCAATAACTAACACCAATGATACCCCACCCGCATGCAACCGGAAGTTTTAGATTTCGGTTTTCTTTGTAGTGATTAACCTTGTTGTCCTGGTGGATATTGATAGCTGTGTGTGTCTGTATTTATCTGTCCTTGGTTGCCACGGGCTTCATGGTCTTGATCATCTTTCTCATCATGTCGCGTAGTAATGTCAGTTTTTGTTCAATTGTCTCGAGTGCATGGCGCTCCTCGGTGAATTCCAACAGTTCTGTACATCGAAATAGAACGATCAGATATCAACGTGAAAATGAACAGGAAATGAAAAAGGGTGTCATTAATATATGAAAAGGAGGGAGGGAGAGAGGGAGGGATGGGTGGTTGGGTGGTTGGGTGGATGGGTGGATGGGTGGATGGGTGGATGGGTGGATGGGTGGATGGATGGATGGATGGATGGATGGATGGATGGATGGATGGATGGATGGATGGATGGATGGATGGATGGATGGATGGATGGATGGATGGATGNATGGATGGATGGATGGATGGATGGATGGATGGATGGTTTTACATGTTTACCTTTTGCAAGACTCAATTCACTGATCCAGTCGCCTAGCTTGTAATGTCTCACTCGTAGATTCTAAAGACGTTGGCGGGGCATAAGTAAAGGTGAGAGTCATCAGTAAGAATTTGAAGTTTTGTGGAGGGTCCAATTTTTTTATTTTGACAAAAGCTTTTTCCATGTTGACTTAATAGGGTAAGGGCAAAGGCTACGAAGATTTTAAAACGTTTAGAGAGAGAAAAATTTGATCGGCCTGATCTTATCCGATATCTTATAACTGGTATATTTTATAACTGGTACGTTTTCTTACCAGGAAGGGATAGTTTTCCATTCGTGTCAAGAGGAGCATACGATCCACATCGTATTCCAGTTTGGCTACATTCTTAGCCTGAGCATAGGTAGTGCTTAACTGAGCGATGAGGATGTTGAGAAGGACAACAATAACTGTACCCATGTAGACAAGTAGGAGAACAATAGAAAGCCAACTGAAAAATGAATGGAAGGGAATTGAATGGGATGAAAGGGATAGTAAATTGAGTATATGGGCTATATTTGGCTCCATATGACTAGTCGTACCAAAGAAAATAAAAAAATCACAACAGATAACGAAGTGGAAAATAAATAAATGGGAATTAAATGAGATGAATGAGACGGAAGAACAAATGGCAATTTTGGGAACAAAAACCTAGAATGGATAGCCAAATGGGAAATGAACGTAAGGGAATGAGATAAAAGTTATTAAGTCACTTAGTAACATACTTGAAGTCTTTGTATTCTTCAGCAATTGGTTGTGATTCAGTCAACACTCTCATTCCTCCCAAAAGTACTTGTTCAAAGCCTCTGTTTAGATTAATAAATTGGAAACGACATAAGAAAACATCGGTTATCTCAATAACTATAGATCTAAGATTTTTTTTTTTTTAAAGAAAACCACACACAAAAAAGTTTGGGGAAAAAATTTCAAGTATGCACTGGCTCCGTGCGTGAGCGATCCGTAATTTGTTGACGCAATTTGGTGGTATGTTCTCTTATTTACGACAGCTCTCGACCAATCAGAAAGCGAGGAAATTTACATAGGTGGTAAAATAGAAAATTAAGCATAAATGCTAGCACTATTTTCTGGTGTTCATGGGTTGGGTAAGTGATCCCGTTATCTTTTACAGTAAGACACTTGGCAGCATACAAAGGACTGAAGTGATCTTACCCAAGAAGGGTCTGGCTACGTGTAGCCCTCAAGGAGAGGAACAGAGCACCACAGAATGAAAAGAAGATGACCGCAAATGTAACAAAGAAACGGGAAAGATCATTCTTGATGATACGCGCTAATGTTTTTGTGTACAGCCCAGTTGTTCTGAGAATAGAAGAAAAATAAAATGGTTAAGAACACTAAGAAACAGCGTTTCATATCCTGAAATATACGTGAGTGTAATGATGTAGTTTGTTTGGTTTTTAATTGATTATTATTAACTTATTAACTTAACTTGCCAACAAAGGAATCTATAGAGTGTTTTCACGTGACGTCACAGCTGCCATGTTGGTGTACCAAAACAATACCTTTTCTATCCTCCAGGAATTGAACTCCATTTTTATGCAAAAACTGTGCAGAAAGTTTCTATTGTTTGGTACACCAATATGACTGCCTTGTCATGTGAGTGAAAACGCTCAAAACCAAAAAGTGACAAAATTTAATATTCAAAATTGTTCGCTAATCAAAACACATCACAATGTCAAAGTTCATAGTCTACTTAGAACCCTTTTTTTTTTTTTTTTTGGACATCCTTTATAAACCCTTTATAGCATATCCCCAATGCAATTCAATTTAGAGGACAAATTAACAGAATTTTACTCTTATGAGCATTGACATTGAGCATTGACTTACTTTGTGATGCAAGAAAACTTGAAAATTCTGAAACAGTTGATGAGATAACCGATGGAAGCCACACTCCACTGAGAGTCATGGTTAATAGCACGTAAAGGGATAATAACTAGTATTAACAGCATACCAAGCCAGTCAAGCACATTGTACTTGTCTTTCATGTAGGTGTCCTGTTCCCTGAAAGTAAAAGATAAAGATGCTAATAAATACTATGAAATAAAGAAGGTAGTGTGGTACTGAGTGTGTGTTGCTTTGGCTCTGTGAAGTGTTTTATCATCAGTTTGTTGTGGTGTGGTCTGGTGTGTGTTGTGGTGTGTTTTATCTTCAGTGTGGTGTGGTGTCTTGTGATGTTTTATCTTCAGTGTGGCAGGGTGTCATGTGGTGTGGTGTAGTGTACTTCGATGTACTGTAGTGTGCTGTGGCTCTGTGCATGTTTTTCTTCATTTGGTGTCTTGTTTTGTAGTGTAGGGTAGTGTAGTAGTAGGGCACTTGCCTTTCACCTCTGGGGTCTTAGTTTCGATTCCTGGACTCACCATGTATTATAGTAAAAAGAAATAATGCCATAACATGTACAGTATACACAAATGCCAAATCAATCATCAAAATCAAAAATTAAGGAAGTAAAAGCAGTGATACCTTGCAATTTGGTTGATCTCTTCAAAGATGTAGAAGAAAAGCATCAAGAGCATGATAAGTTCACAAACAGCCCTAAACATATCAGCACCTTCTGAGTATTCATTAGGGTTCTTTCGTGTAGAGCCATGAATGAGAGCAAATGAGAGCACAAGGAGAAAAATCATGTAGATAATTGCTTGAATGCTATTGAAAAATGATAAAATATCTGTGTTAAAACAATCAGGATTCATTCAGTCATTTTCTCAGTAGAGCAAATAAGCTTCATTCTGGTGTAAAAACAGAATATTGGTGCATAGCTACCTTAACAGTCTCTTTCCATAGGCTTGCCATTTTGATTGGATAAGCATTCGGACCACAGGATGTCGAACTGCATCCTAAGAAAATTTTTTATGGGTATTTGATATTAATTATATAATCTTTCAAGCTGGACTAAAAATATATTAACAGCTATTCAATGGCCAGACATACACTGTAATATGACTAGCTACATCATAGTGTTCATCATGTGACCATGCCTTAAAGTGCACCTTACCCCCAATACAATACTTTCAGTATTGATTCTACATAAAGTGAATAGTTCAATGGTAAAATACTTCTTCATTTGAATGATGCGTCTTTAAGTTATGAAGGTTTATATTTCCATTATGTTGCTGACTGTGACGTCACCCCAGGCTTTTGAGTGTATTTGTTTTAATTTCTAATACTAAACACTAGCCATTATGAGACATCAGATTTACAATAAACATTGTAGAAAACTTGAGTTTAATGATGATTCTTTTTAAAAACTGTTTGTATGAACCAGTCAAAATTTGTATATTAAATGAAGCCTGGGGTGACGTCACAGTCATTAACATATTGGAAGTATAAACCTTCATAACTTGAAGAAGCAACATTCAAATGAAGAAATATTTCACCATTCAACTATTCACTTTATGTAGAATCAATACTGAAAGTATTGTATCAGGAGTTAGGTGCACTTTAAGAGGCAATTGGTTGATGAATTTACATGTACCACTCCTGGGAGGATGGCTTAATGCCTAACATGTTTGCAACCCAATTGATAGGGCAGCCAATAGATAAAATTAGAATCTAGGTGATTTTTGTGGAGGAGGAAAAACTGGAGAACCTGGAGAAAAACCCTCGAAGCACAGGAGAAAACCAAAAAGTGGATAAGAGTGAACACTAATTTATTCATATCAGTGAGTGTGAAAGGAGATATTGAGGTTAGCCCCATCGTGAATATCTCCTAGGATCGAATTAGAATTTAGTAGTTGGTTTTTGCAGTACATCATTTTTATGCTAATTAAGTGTGCAGAGGTACAAAGCTAAGTTACGAATGAAGAGTAAAATGAGCTGGAAAGAGGGCTGAGTTATAAGACTTGAGAAGAAAGTCTTGCAAATGAAAAACATTTCAGGGAAATTGAGTTACCCAAGGGGTTGTTCTTTTACGATGCTAGAAAAAAATCCAGGGAAGGGCTGCAGGGGGTGAGCACCCCTCCCTGGTTCGACTTTGTGCCCCTACTTCGAAGATAACCAATACTGTTTTTTCCCTTTGATTCTAAGGGGTGCACTCCTCCCTGGGTTAACTTTGTGCACAGCAACGCTCCCTGAACAAAATCCTGGAACCCCCCCCACCCCCCTGCAACGCATAGTATGCATTATGGAAAGAGTCAAGTCAAAGGCTAAAGAAGGAAACGAAAACAAAGTACATTAAAGCAAAGTTGAGTTACCCAAGGGTTGAGTCTTTTACACTGAAGTGCCAATTTTAATGAGACATTAACCATTGTTTGGTCATTATTTTGAGCCCAGATTTTAACTTACTATATTATCACTGTTGGCAATAATGCTCAAGCAAGATGGAGATTTCTTGTTGTAGAAAGGATTTTTTATGGACTTGTTTGTGGCTGAGTCTTTTATTTTTGGGGGTCTTCCTCCATCATCACATTCTAACACATGGAAATAGAAATGATACTCCAAAGGATCTTCAGGAACAGTGGCCCAAGCTCCTTCTATGACTTCTTCTTCTTCGGTTGTTAAGTACTCACTCTTTTTATCTGGGAGGTAAGGCCAGTGTGGGTTGACCATACAGTCAAGAATGGCCACTGATGCTTTCTGTGGATTAATATGTAGAGGATATTACACAGTGACACAAAGATATGAAGTTTATCTCATAATGGTGAAAATATTTCATGAGTGAGCTCAAAGAACAAGTGAAATGTTTATCAACATGTTTATCAATATGTACAGTAGAGGAAGGATATTACACAGTGACACAAAGATATGAAGTTTATCTTCAAGTGGTGAAATATTTCACAAGTGAGCGCAAGGAATGAGTGAAATATTTTTCAACACGAAAAGATATATCTTCATATCTTCAAACTAATGTGTAATATTTTTTCTATTATATAGACACATTCACAAACAAAAACTTGTTGAAAACATTGGAAAAAAATAATCGATATTTTCACTAAGTTAGGATATGGCAAAATAATGTCACTGAGGTCCCGAATGTTGTTCCTATGAAAAATAGAGTGGCGTATTTCCCAGTAAAACACTAATGTCTAAATAATATAAGAAGTTATAAAATGACTGTTAAGTCTTGTGGACAACAATTGATTAAACACAATCTACACTGATACTCAAACCTCAATGCTGGAGAACTAACTGCAGTGCATACAGTACCTTCATTTTAGGATTTTTCAAGATCTGTTGGAAACTGATTTGAGAAGGTCTTGGTGACTGGAGCTCTGGATCTGGTCTCCATGAAAACATATCTTGAACCCTTTAGAAAACAAAAAATGTTTTAGAAGTTTGGCACACTCGAGACTACACTCAACTACAAAAATCACTGTCAGGCTCAAATTATAGAACATAGAAGCCAAGATGAAAAACCATTCTGGGTAATTAATGACATAATTATGCTCTGATGTGTTCATTTGATACACAGTTAATATACAGTAAAACAGGGTTGAATAAAGGTACATTGGGGAAACACTGTCTTGATCCCTAATTATTGGAGTCACCAGCTGGGAAGCAGGGGTGGTGTAGCGGTGTGAGCGCTTGCCTCTCATCAATGCGACCTGAGCTTGAGTCCTGCCGGGTTCGGTGTTGTATATGAGTAAAGTTGTTTGTTGGTTCTCTCCTGTGCTTCGAGGGTTTTCTGGGTTCTCCGGTTTTCCTCCCTCCACAAAAATCAACTCCTAAATTCTAATTCTATCAGTGAATGAGGGCCACAAGTTTGTTAGCCACTGGCTATTAAGTGCTACCCTCGTGAAAAAAGGACGGGTTTTTTTGGGGGGGCCCTGCATTACAAGACGATTTTTTTATTTTTATTTCTATTTTTTATAACTTTTTTGTAATGCATTTTTTCTCTAGGTTATTTTTCAGGTTATCCTCCTTTCACAAACTCTTCCTCTTTCTTTCTGCTCACCTTTATTGATTCCTGCTGCTGCAATATTATGAATATCATAGTAAAAGTTAAATAAATTCTAAAAAAAACTGTATACCTTTCATGGCTCATATGCCTCAGCATAACCGCTGCTACTTCATCATTGTTTTTATTCAGGGCAACCTCCACAGGTAACAATGCTCTCTTCTTCACCGGTGTTAAAACAGCTTCAGTTTTAAGTGCAAGAAGACCAGGGCAGAACCTAATGAGAGTGCGAGCAATATGGTAAAAATTCTGTTCTGCCACATAGTGAAGCAGGGTCTTTTCATCTTCTTCTGTTTGGTCTCTGAATGCCTCGTATCTGTTGTCTTTGTTCATGTCATCTTTGTCTTCAAGAAGGATTTCAGCAAACCTATGAATCTGAAAAAGAACATTTTTCTGTTTATTTATGAAGGTTCCTCACTAAAACATGTTTTACATTTACCATAGGTTAAGAATATTGTATTCCTATTGCTTGACTATGGTCCTGACAACCGTTTTTAAGTATGCTGTGCATCCAATGTATATTGCACATAATTTTACAGAAAATATTCAATCYATCTACTCCAGTGCAGGGATGGCAGAGACAGGGGGACTGGGGGGCTTTAGCCCCCTACTTTTCACGGAATTACATTTTCATTTTGTCTAATGTTTGGGCGTGAGGGATAGGGAGGGGAGAACTGTAGCCCCCCCCCCCCCCACTTTAAAAACTGTTCCACCATCCCTGCAATGATATTGCTTGTTTGGATCTGAAGAGGGTTTGAATGGCAAGCTCAGGTGTTTTCTTTTCAATACTTAAAACTGGACATTCCTAAAACATATTTCCATCTCAAGCAAAAGAAAAGTTTGCTGGTAATAAAAAGAGTAACGTAAGTAATATAAAAACTTTTTCTGTGTGTCCTATTTTTTACCTGTGGTTCAACAAGTTCAGCCTTTCCTTGGAATTTCTTTGCTTGTGGCCATTGTTTCATGAGCAAAAGCAAAGGGTCTTCTGCAGGTTTTGAGCCATTAGCCTTGTATTTGTCAACAAGTCTTTTTACCCGTACCTTGTCCATAGCCTTCGACCAGGAAATACCTTCCTCTGCATTAAAAATGCTCCGCACCTATAAAAAATATATTTACTGTAACTATAAAATAATAGTGATATTTATTATTTTATTGAGCAAAATAACATGTTAAATATGATTAAATGCAGCCATTTTTATTTATTTTTCGTAAGAGCATCAGTCTGCTATGCGAGAGGTCATGCTTCATGCCTTGGCATCCCAACACTCAGGGTCTTTAAATAACTGAGGAGAAGGGTGCTGCCTTCCTAATTACATTTGCAAATGGTTTGACCTTCATCCAGCTCAAATGACCACGTTAATGGGGGTCCCATCCCTAACCAACCAGAGAAATGAAGAGGACCACAATTACTGTCAACTGTCATYTTCAATAAACAAAAATGATTGATTGATATGTCCAAATTTTTAAAAAACCAAAGCATATGCTACAAAACCTTTTAGTTAGAAAAGAAAGAAAGAAAATATTTATCGTTAGTGGTTGACTTAATTAGCTGATTATATTCAGCCCAAGTAAGCTAGAAGAAATCAAGCAAGCACATCTTCTCAATAATACAAATTGATTCCTCGGGTGCTAGTTTTAAAGATCTGCATACCTCCACCCAAAACTGTCGATCAAAATCATCTTCTAAATCATCTTCATTGTCGTTGTTCAACGATGGCGTAGGTGCTCTCTGTTCTGTTGGGTTTGTTGGCTGCATTTCAAGTGAGCTATACTTTCCCTTCTCTGTTGAGGCCATGAAATTATACTCCTACAAGCTGTCTTCTTTTCTTTCCCTTTGACTACACAAATGAACTAGCAAATAAAGAAAAGAAGAAGAGTTTTAATTCAGTATACATATAGGTTAGACAACCTTGCAACTTTTGTAGGCATGACATTTCACACTGTTTTCAGCCAGTTTTGGGCACGAGTTCTACTAACTTTAAATCTCGTCCCGTCACAAGGCATCTTGAAAATAATGATAAAAAGGTAAATTATACACCGTGAAAAGTTGAAAAAACTTACTGACGTTTCGGACGCTATTCCTTCGTTCGAGTTAAAGAGAAAGAGGTGGTAGAAAGCATTCATTTTCATCTTTTCACGGTGTATAATTTACCTTTTTATCATTACTGTTTCATTAGAAACACCGACGCAGCTCACACTAGTTTTTAGCTAGTTATATCATCTTGAAAATAGCAAACTTTCATACTAACTAATGGTTAAAACACTCAAACCCAGAGACCCATGGCTTAATCCATGATAAAATAACAGAAATGGATTCCAACGACCATGAGTTCAAAGTGTGAACATGACCGATTGACTGACTTACCAAATTTCGTATTTCTGAGCGCTTAAAACCAATACTGTACATGTATTTCTCGCTCTGTCTGCAGCTAAATCTGCACTTCCATCCCTTAGTGTAAAAATCAATGAAGCATTAATGACTATGAAATTTGAATAGAGTTTACCAGAAGCAAAAAGATCAGCCACCGAATCCTTCGGAATGAATAAGTTTTGGGTGTTGTTGTTAAAATGCGCAAGGCGTTCTATGCCTGCGAGGAGTAAGGCCAAGGAACGAGCATAGTGACGTCATACACAGGAAACCCAAGACACTTTACTGATTTTATTCAGAAAGCTGCTATCATTTTAATTTAAACGAAAAAAATTTAGACATTGGAATCTAATGGTAAGTAAATATGATCTTACTACGTTATTTATGAAAACTAGAGCTATTTTGAGAGAATAAGATGCATTAAAATTGTGCCAAAAAAAAAACCGTTCGCGGGAATTCTCCAAAAACCAAAATTGTATCTATTCTGGTGTCACTTTTGGCTTTAGTTATTGATAAGAACAATTTTGAAAGTATAAGCTTGATTTTTTAGATCATCTTAGATAATTTTATGCATCAAATATTTCCGCAAAACCGCTCGTGTGTTATGTATTGGGAACAGTATTTGGAGCGACGTGCCACTTATAGCCGCGATCACTGACACTATGATGGAATTTTTTCTGGCTTGATAGCTAAGCAGCTTGATAGCTAAGGTTGAGCTCTGTAAGTTCTTACAGTGAACTACGGTTTTCAGATTTGCCAGAAAAAGGAAAACATTTAGCAGACTGACACCCTGAATCGATTCATGATCAATATAACTAGCATTTTCGCTACAAAAAAAACTTTTTAGTGAATAGACACTGCCTCCATAAACGCGAAGTCATTGGGGTGCCGCGGGGATTTCAAAACGGGTAAAGAAAGTATAGGAGGCCGGGAAGGATAACGTAAAACAGAAAAAAAGGAATAAAAAAGAAACAACAGCTAAGCCATATTGTGACTCATTTTCATCCTGATGATAACTGTTAATCATCTGATTCATTGGCTCTCAGAGCCAAAAAACTTTGGAAGTTTAATTTTGCTATATTAGAGAGAGCATGGCACAATGCATACTTCCAGTTGTGAGTCGGGCTCAGAGTCAGTGACTTTAAAAAGATTTGTCGTTTTTCTTCTTTGATTCTTCTTTTTCCCACTATCTCTTGATTTAAATCCTCTATGAATTGTTAGATTGTTTTATACCCTCCGATAAAACACTGACTTCCCCCGTACTAGTTTTACTAACTTTCTATTCAATTGCCATTTCAGCACTTCTGGCTGTTGAAAACCTTTGACTTAGGGAAAACAAATATCATTATCAATATTGTGAAAAAATAGCATTGGGCTTCCTTTGGTTTTATCTAAGATCAAAGTGCAAGTGATTCACCGGAAAGGGTATTTCAACTTGATGAAAGCAAACTGTATTACAAAACACTGTCTTTAGCTCCTTTTGTTTTTAACTACCAATCAGATACGTTTTCATTTTACGTTTGTCATTCCTTTTCACATTCACTTTCCCATAGCAAAAAATATTACTTCAATAGACTGACTTTCCTTCTTTGTAGAAATTGTCTTCCTTATCTTTTTAGTAAATATAAATTCTATTTTAAAAAGTGGACTTAGATACTAATATGACATAACTTGTAGTTCGTTTCCGGCGTGACTTGACTTTGGCCTCGGCCCAGGCAGCGCGTGACACTGCAAACTTCATCACACGGGAACGCCTTTTCCATTATTGGCATCAGCATCGTTCATATATATCGTAAGATATAAGATTTGCTACTAACACAAACGTACTATTCCTCTTGGACTTTACTGGTTTCTAGGACAATTCTGACTTAATTCAAAGTTGAAATAAGAAAGGGACAGAATTGAAGAAGTCAACTCCTACAAAGTAATAGTGGTACGTAATCTAGTGGAATTTTTTAGTTTATGATTTCAGTATCAACTGATTCAGTCAGGAAATGTTGATGAAATGTTGATGATGAAATGTTTGGAATAGATATCTAAAGCTGTGCTTCTATACGTAGTTATAAGATACTTTTCAATAGTTAACGTGCCAAAATCTGAATATAAAATTCAACCTATGAGATATTTCAGACGTCAAATCTTCGTCTCCCATCTCAGTGTGGATGAATTTGCAAAACCCGGACTCTTCATAAACTCTTTTCTCTGTGTTGACATTTAAAGTACCATTTTATCATTTAGAGTGTATTACTTATATTGAATTTTCGACTTTTTAGTGTTTGATTTGTAGAGAGCCAAGAAAAAACACATAAGCGATATAAAAATGTTGATATTATTATCTATTACCAATTTCTATTGTTTACGACTGGAAAACTTTGGCCTCGAACTATTGGGACCACGTACTCCATCAGGAAAAACATTTTCCCGCCAAAACCTTAAAACAAAAGGTCAAGTCAGCCGAATACATGTGGCAACTAACTCGTGTAGTAGTCATATTGAGAAAAGAGTTTTACAGCTAAAATTTTGAATTTTGAAAAAATTTGTTAGTGATCACGAAATTTTTCAGCAATGTATAAAAAAAATTAAAAAGCGGATTGAAATGTAAACATGCCCTTATATGCATGTAGACTATTATGATTGACATGTAGACATTATTTCAGTTGCGTACGCATCTAATTTGGTGAAACCGCTGACAAAAAATTACCTGCAGAAAAAAGAACGGATTTTATGTACAAAAACTAAAACTAAATTAGTTATGAATTTTAAGAGCAATCAGTTGTCTCTTTGCTAAATAGAAATAATAATAAAAACAATGAAAAATCAACGTCTGTCCGTTCTGAAATTTATTAGAAAAACAAAATTTCGTAAAGTAATGATATTGTTTATTTCTATTTTCATTGTTTTCTTCTAGCATGTTTTTGATTGATATGGTTTAGGTAGTTTCCCTACGATCGCACCCCACCCGCTGACAAGAAGTCTCTACCTGTCGCAGGCGCATAAAACTCTCTCTACAAGTCTAAACGTATACATCGGCATTCCTTAATGACGTCAATCATTCTTTAATACATAACAGATCATTCCAGCTTTTGTGTTCACAGTTGAGACGCTATACGGACGACGGTGACTGCCTTTATCTTGATCCTACAAGATAGCTCTTAATTCTTTCACTCATTTTTAAGGACCTATCTGCTATGGCTTGAATCTGGTGAGTAAAAAAGGCCTGAAAAATTTTTAAAGCAGTTTTTTAATACTAGAGTTTCGCGTTTGTTTGATCAGTACTTTGGACTGTTTTCTCGGAAACTACGGTCGTTGCGTTGTTGATTTGAAATGCAAAGTTTGATAAAAACGAACAGCGGATCAGTTCATTTGGTAATCGTAAATGTAGTTCAGTGAACTAGTCGGTTAAAGGGAATATAAGTTGATAAAACTCGATGTTTCTAGCTTTAGATTTATGCTAATCCCTCTTGCGATAAATACCAATACAAAGTGAAAGTGAAACTAGCTCATAAACGACTCGAAACTAAGCAAAACCTCTTCAAATTCTTTATCCAACTCCCTAAGAAACTCTAACATTAGTCGAACAGTTATTGTAAGTTAGTTTTAGAGATTTTATTCGCAGTTTTCTTAAATTTTGACGTGGATAAACTGAGATTTAAAGGTGTGTTGTCGTTACGCACTGCTAGATACTCCTCTTCGCTAGCCTGGTCAGCTAGATGTCACGCTAGCTCTTCAACTAGCAAAGCCTGCACGAGCGTTACGCTCCGTGACTCTCTATGAGAACTGTAAGTTCTTTTTTCCTTTAGAGAATTCGCATCCGCAAATTCAGTATGAAATAACGAATAAACGGCCAGTTTGCCTTAACATGTTTCTGTTTTTCAAATTTTTAGATAATAGAATGTGAAKATAGATAAAGCTGTTATATATTTTTTTGTTTCGTCTGACGGTGTTGGTGATTCATGATTCACATCTTTAAAAGTTGAAAGATTAGCTATGTTTCAATGAATGATATTGAGAATTTGTTAAACGAATRTCGCGATAACTATATTCCATGAAGCTGAATGTTAACGATAATAAACCATTCCGAGATTGAGGAAAATACTGGGTGTAATGGGCATTATTGCAGTGTATTGTGTGAGACTTTTTAGGGGGCTAAGTAGACGCCATCTTGAAAAAAACAGTCCCACAATGCATTGCAATGCCATATGGACCCATTCTTGATCTTTTTCTCAACCTTGGAATGGCTTATAAGTTTATCTGCTAAATATATATGTTTAATAATAGTTTTTTATGGTATCAATGGTACAGTTTCAGTTTAGAACTCTATTTGAAACGGTCTTTATCAAATGCAAGTTTTGCAAGTTTTGTCGTTTATTTAAAAAAATCGAAAACTAAACGAAGAATAAAAAAGAAAAAGGAAGAGGAAAAAAGAAGGGAAAAAATCGAAAGAAAACTATAGAAATAAAAAGCAAAAATAGAAATAATGATCATCGGAAAAGACAAAGAAAGAAGGAAAAAAGAATGAGAGAAAGAAACTAGAACGGAAACGGAAAGAAAAGAGAAAATAAAGAATAAAGCATAAGTCGAAATTACAAAGGCTCACGGTTGTTAAAAAGAAATTAAATTCAATTTCTTAGTTCATGCACCTGTTCGACATCCAGCTTTGGCGGACGTAATTTTTCTTGAGACAATTTGCGCATGCGTGGTGACCATAGCAGCTGCGCATCATTAGAAAAACTGGCGGTTTGTGATTGGTTGGACAATTAGCTCTTTAAACTTACTGCGAGTAAATAGCTCCAGGACAAAAGAGATTAAATGATGACGATATAATTTCCACATTGGTGTTTGAATTCTAAATTTCTTGAGCTCTTTAAATTGAACTGTTTTTCCGGATGTCGTGTTTCGTAGCATCGAAAAGCTGAATAGCAATATCACAAGAAACACGGATCGTTATCTCAGTAAGAACAACGTAACGGCCAGTAGCACTTCGGGATAACCAGGTATTCGGAGATATTAATCAGAAGAAAACCACAGTTTCATTTAGAATTAACCGTAAGTCCTCTATGTTTTGACTTAGACAAGATATTCAAGCATATGGGTGTGAATTTGAAGTTGAAAATATCTTTTTTATACCACCATTTCAGAACTGTTTGTAAACCGAAACCATGCCGAAAGTTCTTGTATTGTTTGTGAAAAGCGATGAACAAGAAAGTAAGAGGCTAAAGGATTGCCTTCAGGCGAAACTTGGGACTATAGTTGATTTTAACACAGTGAAAGATGCCCTAGCAGAAGACAGCAATCTCAAAAACGAACTTGCTCAATCTCGAGGCGTCATACTTGTGTCCTCGAAGCAGTCTTCAGAGTTCATCAAGCAGGGAACGCAGGAAAAAGAGGGTAGTTATGTGTTATTCGATGGAAGACTCATTCAACAACAATTGCAAAGTGGAAATATTCTGAGCAAGTTGGTCGTGGTGCAGTTCGGAAGCGCTGTTACCGACGCATACGTACCAGATGGCTACGATAAGCAAGTGTTCGTCTTAGATGCCAACTTCAGCTCTACTGATGCTGTTTTGGATCAAATTGAAGACACCGTGAAAGGATCCCTGACTTCGAAGGTAACAGAAAATGTAACAAAGAAAAAGAAAGACTGTAATCTTCTGTGAACTCGTTCACAATCTTGTTTTGTAGTGATAATACTTTTTACACAAAAAAGAAATTAGTAAAATAGTTTTAGACATCAGTGTAGCCGAATAAATAGGTTACGTTTATGATATATCTTACTCGTTGTAGGATAGAGCTATTTAAAAAAATGCAAGCTAGGTCGACACATATAGAAATAGAAATTGAAAATTTGTGCCCTTATAATATTCCGCACAGAAACAAATGGTAGTGACGTGTAAGACATTCATTTTCGAGTTGTCATTCGCATAAAACTGTCTTTAAGTCGTCCTTTAATAGCGATTAGAACTATGCTTTTTTTTGAAAATGCAATGCTACAATAATATACTATGTAACCTGTTCCGCCATGGCAGTTTAATTCTATCAACAAGCAGGTCCCTGCAACACAAAATGCGAGAAGTATTTTCATTGGACGCTGATATTTAGAGCTTGAAAAGCGTTTTTGGGGCGTCCGTAGAATGCATTTTGCTCGTTTTTAACTTTCTTTGATGTCGACCATAATTCACCTAAGGTTTACAATTCTAGAATTAAGTATTTTTGTCTGGTTAGATGTGTAGTGCTTAATGCAAAAGCACAATTTTTTAGCAAATAATAAATGTTTACAAGGTGAATTAAAAAAATAAGTAGAGGCTAGAAGACTGAGCGAGCTACCTATCATAGTCAGTGAACGTAATAACGAAGACTTACTCTCCGGATTGAGTGAATTTATTTCTGAGAAAGTCGTACAAGTGGAGGCCGGTTAGATCGTATTACATGATCATGCAATATAGAAACGAAGAAAACGATCACCATAGTCTTAATTTCCCACTTTTATAGATCCGGTCGTGACCATTATTTAATCTCCATAGTTTGCGTTCTATCTATCTAGCTAATTTAAAAAACGACCCTAGTCAGTGACTCCGAGAGATTTTTTCATGTCCTCGACCTCAAAGACTTGCTCCGTCTTAGTCTCTCTCCTTTCCAGCTTAAAACTCGGAAAGCTGTCGTAACCGGAAGTGCCCTTTCCGGAATTCGAATGGCCAACCGAAAAAATATCGAGCGAGACTTGGGCTAGTCTATTAAATTTCCACCACACGAGGCCGATCTCGAGCCCAGAGTCTTCCGGCTTTTTGGTCAGCGGGCTGGCGCCGGTATCAGGCGCTGACGACAAAGCAGGAAGGCGCTGGAGGACTTGGCGACGGACTTGGCTGGGTACGAGATTGACACGAGGTTTGAAAAATTCCCTCATCGCATGCTTGTTTAGTTCTAATATATAGTTTTAGTCAGAAAACAGTTAATTTTGTTCAAGAGCAAGCTAGTGGCGTGTGGTATTTTAATGGTATTTTTCACACCTCACGTTTCATAACATTGTTTTGCTATATATTTTAGCAACTTTAGATCAATTTTTTACATCAGTTAATTTGTAATGAAAATAGAAATTAATAAATGTCTTGAAAAGACTTCATGTACCCAGTGATGGGGGGAGGGGGGGAAGGATCAATCTTACTCAATAAAAGGCATTGCTTTCCAATTTACCTCTTGGAAATAAGATTATTTTCAAGCGCCTGTTTAGTAAATAAACACACTATGCATTGCTAGGCAACCAGTTCATACCTGAGACCCATACGGATATTGTGCCCAGTTCCTCTCAATATTTGAAGCTAGCCAGACCCTGGGATCAATCGGCCTATTTATTTTTACCAAAAAAGAAAATGGCCTGCTTTTTAGTTTTAATTCCTTAAGAATCCCAAGATTAACTTTAATTATACATTCAAAATGTTGGTTCTTGTATTTAAAAAAAAACACACACAAAAGAATAATAAGATTCATGTTTTCCGCCATGTTTGAATTTACCGTGAATGACGATACTTTCTTCTTGGTGGGCTACCTGTGGTACAAGAAGGAATTTCAAATTTCGGAAAGTCCTTTGTTGTCTAAAGATTCGTCACCTTTTTGCCTTTTTATTATTATTTTATGTTATTCAAGGATATTTCAAAAGTTCAGAAATCCAGAGAATGTTGGAATGCGTCCCACCCTCGTTGCCATGCCTTTGGTGTTGTCTTTTGTTCGTGGCCGTTCCCCTTTTCGCTCCACTGATCCATCAGTTATTTTTTTCAAATTTTAATTCAAAAATATTTAGTATTTCTATATTCAAGTATCGAGCCTGGCTGGAATTAAGGTTAAAAATAAAGAATAGATTGAAGCTTTTTTAAAAAACCCTGTAAATATAGCTCACTCCTAAAATAATTTCCACTTTTGCTTATGAATATTAATCATGAACTTTTCTAAAAAAATCTGTGCAATGTAGGGTCATTTCCAATATATACAAGCATCATCATATTTCCTTATAAGCAATGAAATTGCTCTAAGAAATGAAATTGAATGGCTTTATAGTTTGCAAGACTGATAAGTCCAAATCAGTGTTCACATCCCATCAGACGCGTGTCAGCCCCACTGCATCGAATTAGTCATCCCCACTGCATCGAATTAGTCATCACTACTCCCTTCATAACAACCTTTGACGCAAGCACACGCTGCCATATCAACGTGTCACTCGACTGAATTTCATGTAATACTCCGTGAATTGAGAAGTCTGTTGCTTCCACAGACGGCTTAAGATTGCTCAAGAGAAAAAACTGTAAGTACTTTGCATTCTAAAATCATTTTTAAAGTAGAAACATCTCTTGTGTTTATCGAGACTTGTGCTTCAAGACCCAACACTGAGTCTCATGACACGGGCATGACAGCACGATCACTGATGGATTTGGCTCCTCATTACAATGTATAGTACTTGAAATATTACTTATTCTTTAGACATTTTAAAGATTATTCCATCCCAGTTACAGCATACAAAATGTTTCTGCCATCATCTTTGATCTATATTTTGGGGAAATATTTATACGTTTAAAGATGCACTGAAGCTCACTGAGTAGAGAGGACACTGTGCTGACCCGTTACTTACACTTATCAAAATTACGGAAAGCTGAATTAAATCAAGCGAGCTCTTAAGTGCTGAAGTTCGTTGCCATGCAGGTTTCTGAAAATTGTATCAAGATACTGTGTTTTTCTACAAGTATTCGATTTAGTTTAATAATTACAATATCAAAGAACAATCCATTCACGGTGTATCATGTCAAGTTCTTGTTTCCAGTATTTATCTTTACTCATCTGTTCACTAACAAGCATCAATGGATGGCTAAAATAACGCTTTCTTTATGTGAAATCGTCAAAATATAAAGCAGAATGCACAAGATTATAGCTAATCGTGTCACTTTTATCCGTGATCAATATTTCTAGCGCGGGATTTTTGACATTTTTCTTGAATTGTTAGTCTTCTGTTTCGCCTTCAATACAGTTCTCATGTTTGACCCTTGCCTTAATAAACATTTCGATTCTGTTATAAAACGAAGATTGACCCTGTCAAACATTGTCAAGAAGATTAGTAGTATAACCTTGAAACATTCTAAAGGTGTAACCTGTAGTATGTGGGTTTGTTTGGGGAGTTGAATTCGATGCAACACCAAATATGGAAAATTAATTCCAATGTTACGATCTTGACTAGTAGGTCTCTCTAGGTCTCTTTCATCAACTCAATCAAATCCGCGCGTAAGGCTGTTGTTTGAAGGTCAGATTAGTTGAGATCAGATATCGGCCTAGTCTCCCCCACCGCCGCTTTCAGTGTCGTCACGCAACGCTTTCTCCCCTGAGCTACTCAGGTCACTCAGGGGAGAAAGCGTTGCGTGACGACACTGAAAGCGGCTGTGGAGGAGACTAATATCGGCCGATCTGCTGAACGACTGTGGAGACATACCCTGGTCGAAATCGAGTGTCAGACTGGAAATTGACTCCAGTTTCTGAAATGGACTACTTCGACAATACGATGGCCATCTTGCCAGGGGGAGGCACAACGAAACAAAGATGACAGCAAATATATAGAGTTTCGTGTGTTTGTCTTTCTTTTGTAGGTGAGATGATCGATATGTCGTCTTAATTCATCTTTTGTTATATTCTTTTGTGGTGAGATGTTAATATCAATCGAGGTCAATACTGTAACAAAGCTTTGAGTTTTCCCCTGTACGACCTATAATGCCTTGCTATTCAAGATGGCCGCCGTATCGTCGAAGTAGTCTATTGATACCTGGGTGTTGTAGGTGGGACGGTTTATGAGCTATTCAAAATTTCTACAGAAAGATCAAAAACGAAAAGGAGCTAAACTCTTGCTGGGCATGAAGTTCAGGTCACCCACACAGGTACTAACCCATTCTCGTACCCAAAGCCCTGTCAGCTTTCTAACGAAAATTAATCGAATTTTTTGGTGAGAAGGATCTGGGTACGAGAATATTATTAACCCCGCTCAACCTCGGGGTTTGACTTGATTCCTTGAAAGCTTCGCCTTATTTTCTTTTTCTTTTCTTTTCATTTTCATTTTCTTTTTTCTTTTTCTTTTTTTCTTCCTTCCAGTACTACCAATGCCAGCCATGACAGAATTCAAAGTATTATTCCTCTACACAAAAAAGGACAAACATCGTGGAGAAGAGTTTAAAGATTTTCTCCGAATGAAACTCGGATCTCACGTCAAACTCAACAGCATTCTCAATATTCTAGAGAACGAATCGACTCTTGAAGATGAACTCTTCCAAAGTCGCTGTGTGGTGCTTGTCTACTCTCGCAGCAGCGAACAATACCTTCAAGAGGACGAGTTTGAGTTCGACGACGACTACGTAACGTTCGATGGAAGTATTATTAAAGCGTTTCTGAAAGAGGACGCTATCTTAGGGCGTGTTGTGGTCGTCTACCTCGATGAACAGCCAAAGGATTGGATCGCAGATCGGGTGGGGCCGAAGAGGATATTTCATCTTGAGGGAGACTGTTTTGACAGAGTTGATCCTGGACTAGATCAGTTCGTCCAAGTCGTTAAATCCTTAACAAAAAAGCAATTTAAATAAATTTTACAGTTTAGAATCTTCCCGTTCTCTCTGTCAGCTGTTGAAAGGGTCTTCACTGCAGGGAGACTTCTGAGAAGCCATGATAAAAGATAATCAAATAACCAAGCCCATGCATATTTTCAATTGTTTAAAGCAAGCCTAGTGCGCTAATCTTGCACGAAAAGGGCCTAACGTTAACCCACCTAGGCATGATATGTTTCCCCATTTCAGACACCGTGTCATACTCTTGAGAATAACATTCTTTGTTTGAGTTTCATCCACATTCATTTGTCTTTTTAAGCGCAACCATAAAACAAACAAATGATACTCTAGGGAATGAAACGTGGTCTAAAATGGGATACAGTAGATCAGATTTATTCCTAAGACACCACCAGTAGCTCAGCCAATCAGAGCACAGGATTTTGTGATAGACCATGAGTAGGTTTATACTAAAGTATATTGGATATATTTCGAAGAATTGGTTATCTCAGTAAACATATCTGGGTAATTTTGTACAAATCAAGCTTGGAAAACTTGGTGACAAAGTTTTCCCTCGTGCAGTCCAAACAGGTTTTTAAGACATTTTTAAACCAAGCAAACCAGAAGCACATCTAGGAGTATTGGTGGTAACAATGAAAAGTAAGACAAAAATGATTTTTATTTTWAAAAAATTCTAAAATTCTTGTGAAATTTAAATTTCCATTCTTAAATAAAAGCCTGTACATTATGAATATTACGAAGATATACGCCTTAGAAAATAGGAAGGGGTTTCATAATTTGAAAGGTCACCAATTGTGTGCCTTTAAGACTGAGAATTTTCTATTTTTGTTTCAATAGATGGAATAATAGGCTAGGTAGAGGCCTGTGTAATATATACGGAGTATAACAATGGTAAGCGTGGTTTATCTATACGAAATACTATCCCTTTCTTACTTTACTTCAAAGAATATTTTCTTCGAATGTCATAGTTTATCCTTCCTCGAAAATTAAATTTAAAATTGACTAACATTTGTGTTTCCATCAAAATACTTTTTACCCGCTACTGTGCAGTGCAGGGCATTATTCGGTACATCTATAAAATTTACTATAATCTATTCCTTTTCACGTGAAGAACATGACATCATTCTGACCAATGAACAGGATGCCACTTTTGTCAATCATCCTCCCAAGCCTGACTGATAGGTGATGTCATCAACGAACACCATTGCCACCATGACGTCATCGTCATTTTGAAATTATGATGTCATCGTAAGAATACCAATACTCACATCTTCATGATGTCATCATAAAATGTTACAGAGTACATGACAGTAATATCATTAGACTTTGAAACATCACATACTCATGGCGTCATCATCGACGATCGAAGTGTAATACAATGCGTGACGTCATCGTGAATCGGTAAGACATCATCACCTACATCTTGATGATGTCTCATCTTCATGACGTCATCATCGTACCCGGCATTCGAAGTGCATGACATCATTATCATCAGTTACCCATACCATTTCAAAAACCATTGTTTCATCCCTTGATGACGGTCAATGGCATTTTTCTGATTATCTTTTTCATCATCGTCCTATTGTTCAAAAGAAAAGTAAAAAACACTGAAGATCAATGAGAGAAAAGGGAGATCAAGACTTGAATATTAAACCTTACCTGATAGCATCCAACTTATCCTCGATGCTTTCGAGAGGATGACGATCTTCACTGTACTCGAGCAGCTCTGAACAAAAGAAATACAGAAATAACTGATGTTATTGTCATGCTCGACCCTACGTGCTACACAGGCATAGAGGATAATGATTATTGCCATCCTCAATACCATGACATTCATCCCCTTTGTTCCTCCTGAAGGGCACTTTGAATGTGAGGCTACGGGGGGGGGGATCTACTGTCTGAGCCAAACGGAAGGAGCAAAGTTGATGCTTGTTCGTTTTCTAATCGCTCCGTCTTCGAGGAAAAGTGAAAGGAGAATTCCTCTTTCCCAGACCCTTCTCAAAGAAAAATCGAATTTTCGTTAGAAAGCTGAGAAGGGTTTGGGTACAAGAGTGGGACTGAGGGAATATGGGTTTACTCTGACGTAGCCGCAGTTAATACTTTCGAACAAATTAGCCTGCGTAGAGCAGCACTTTGGGGGCTTTGGCGAGGAGAGTGGGGCGAGGGGACGCAGAAAAGGAGGGGAGTGGGGAGGAGGAAAGAAACGAACGAACCATTAGCAAGCTGAAGTTCATCAATCCATTCTTTGTCCTTAAAATGCATGATTCGTAGATTCTGTAAGTAAATAAAACATGTCTAAAGGTATGGTAATGACAAGAAACAAGCTGTTCGTACTGCATGACGGGTAATATTGATATACTGAGAATAAAAGTGGTCGTCTCATAGACCCACGCGCAACAGGCTTTCTCTATCCTGGCACAAAACAGAAGGCTCTCTACTCTTTGATGACCAGATTTTTCTCTCCTGAAAGGTTTTCTGTTTTGTATTGTCCACTACAAAAATTCATTATCTCTCCCTATGGGTTCTGCAGCAACTAGCTTATACTGTAATAGCGCTAGCGCTAGCCGACACATGCGAGCTGAGTTGGTTGATTCTCTTTCTGGCTCCGAGGGTTTTTTCTGCTAAGCTTTTCGGTTTTTCCTCCCTCCTTTCAAACCCCAGGATCATACATGTACTGTATAGCGGCTGCCAGAGGCGCCTTCACATGCTTTCAGTTCAACCCCTGTTGAGCTATGCCAACGCTTTACTTGCGGTGGTGACTAGCGATAAACACAGTTTTCTTCTTAAAAAGATAATGACTCAAGTCAAATAAAACCTGCAGAAGTTTAGACATACCACCTGATGGAGCCTGCTGTGTTCAAGCCTGGTGATAATGACCATTCGTTCTTTATCGTACTGTATTCTCGCGCTCTTCTTGGCCTCAGCGTACGTAAAACTCAATTGAGCGATGAGAATGTTGAGTAAAATGACCACCACGGTTGCCATGTAACCAAGAATCACGAGAACTGGTAGCCATCTACAAGATGTATCATGAAAAAGAAGGTTCCTTGAGTTTTGAGGTCTTGGGGAAAACACGTTACATTCAATGGACTACTTCGACGATACGGCGGCCATCTTGCCAGGGGGCAAAACAAAACAATTACGGAAAATATATTGAGTTTCGTGTTTTTGTCTTTCTTTTATGGGTAAAGGTGATCGATGTGCCGTCTTAACCTCTTTTGTTTTTTGTTTTTTTTTGTTTTTTTTGTTTGTTTTGTTTTGTTTTGTATTCTCTTGTGGTGAGCTGTTAATATCAATCGACGTCATTCCTTTATTTGCCACTGGACGCCCCATAATGCCTTGCGATATAAGATGGCCGAAATATCGTCAAAGTAGTCCTAGGATTGCTCTTACTACAGGAAGCCCATAGTTAATTATCATCATTGTAGTGGGCTTCCTGTGGTTAATATTGTATCATGACTTACTTGAACTTAGAGTAGTCTTCGGCTGGTGGCTGTTGTTCGACCAGGGCTCGCACTCCAGCTAACATAACCATATGGAAATCGCTGAAAAATGACAAAAAATAATATAAAACTAGCAGGGACTGCAAAAATACTTTTAATTTAAAAATTTTGGTCGGATTAGCTATCTGTTGTTCAGGTTTAGCCTCCATTTTGTGTAGAATATTCATGTGTTCTAGTGAAAGTTGGTGGAATTTCAATCCTGTATTTTAGGAGTTTTGCATTCTTTATACTTTTCAGTTAATATTTGTAAATATTTTCTCTCGTTTGAGCGTCGGTCTTCAAATGGCTTAGGAGGGTAGTAAAAAGACCACTGGGGTAGTAAAGAAATCCTGTCAGTGACAACAGTTAATGCGTACAGACTTCCGGTATACTGATTATCCCTCATGATTGTTAGCGCCTTTTTTAAGTATATACATAGAAAGGACGCTATATAAATAATAACATATAATCATTATAACTAAACGAAACTTACCCAAAAAGCTTCGAAGTTCCAGAGGCGCGAAGGGACATGAAAAACGTCCCGCAGAATGCAAAGAACACGACAATAAACACCACACCGAATCGAGTAATGTCGCGATAAATAATCTTCGCCAGCGTCTTCGTATACAAGCCAGTTGTTCTAGACACGCATGCGTACTTGAAAAGTCTTAAGAAATTAAAAAAGTACCCAAACGCTGCCAAAACCCATTGCTCGTCCATGTGAGCAAACCTTAAAGGAATGACTAGTATTATCGAGAGGAGACCAAACCAGTCGAAGAGGTTGTAAATATTCTTGAAGTACTGCAGCTTCTCTCTGGAACAAACAACAAAAATAGCATCGTTAAAGTTTTGTCTCTGACTTGAATTAAAAATTGGCAGACGTTCTAAGTGAAGTCAGAGACAAAACTTTTATAACATGGATCAATGCATCCCGAATGCAACCAATCATTTTAAAAATAGCATCCCTATTCTTACAATTCAACTTTATAAAATAACTCTTATAAATCTTGCTTTTTGATTGGCTGGATACCCCTTTATAAGAGCAAAGAGCTCGCGCATGCGTTTTCCATTTCTTTTAGTGCTATTTCATTGAACTGTTTGGTAGCAAAGGTTATATTTTAAGATGATATGGAAACTAAGTTTTTCCTCCACGATTGAAATAGAGAAAAGTATGTCCAAACTAAATGAGGTACAGTATATCAATTACCCAGGCTTATAGGCTAGAGGTGGTGGGACCACATGCTAGAACATAGGTCACCTACAGTCGACCCCCGAAAGAAAGTTTAGCTTTTATGGATGGAGGAAAACAGTGAGGTTCGGGGAAAAAAGGATAACCATCGTTTTCATTACTACGCGGCCACCCCAGACACAAATCGAGTCGTGTAGTTTGCAATAGACTACTGTTAATCTTTCATGTTGACGCCATCTATACACGTTTGGATCAGTGAGTTGGCTTTTCTATCAAACTTTCTCAGTCAGATATCACGAAGGGAAGTTCCGAAAGCGATTGCAAAGAGTTCGAGTACATCCAAGTAGAATGAGGTGTTTGATTGACGGCAGTCTATTGCAAACTAYACGACGCGATTTGTGTCTGGGGTGGCCGCGTAGTAATGCAAACGGCGGTAATACTTACTTTTCAAGCTGGTTGATTTCTTCTGCGATATAGACTATTACCATGACAATAACGCAAATCTCACAGGCCTGTCTTAGCCAATCACCACCTCCGTCATACTGTGTGGGGTCTGAGCGAGTACAACCGTGTATCAAGGCGTAGGAAAGCAATAGGAGGAATGTGACGTAAAACCCGCCTGCAGCACTGGAAATGGATAAAACATCAAATATACCAACATGATGAATTTATTTATGAGCTAGGAAAGTAGTATAGAAATTATTGGTCATTTATCACAAGCTGAAAGGAACTCAGAAAAAATAAGAGTCCCTGATAGGAATCATATCATATCATTAGTCCTTGTACGTGGGTTATCACCACATTCATCATCATCATCTGTACGTTGCACCGTATCCTCCTTCATCATTGTTATCACCACTATATCATCATCCCCACCAAAAACATTTGCATGGTCACCACCTTCATTATCATCATCATTACATCATCATCATCATTACATCATCTTCATTATCATCACCACTTCTTACTGATGTCCATCATCATAACCTTATTATCATCGTCATCATCAACACCATCATCACTACATCATCACCACCACGTTCTACGCCCATCATCATTACCACATCATCACAATCATCATTTTCATCATCAATATCACCATTATCATCATCATGATTACAAAAATCATCATCTTCATTCTATTGTCATTTTCGCCTGCACTTGCACTGCCACTACCTTCGTCATCAAATGTTCAGTCATTACAAAACTTCACTGTCATCATTATCTCATAAGTTGTACAAAAAATCAACAACTCACCAGAACCATGTGTGTGCATACTCAGTCCACTTTTTCTTGACCAACAAACGAACAACAGGATGTTGTATGGCTTCCTGGACACCAAGAAAAAATATATGAATGAAGGACAAGGAATCAAGGCATGAACACCTCTTTCTTGCCATTCCCAATCTCTATTTTCTTCTCACCATCATTATCTTACCAAGATCTAAGTCAAGGGACGGCTAACTCAAAGATAGAATTGCCAGTATAGCATCATAAATACTGGAGAACCCAGAGAAAACCAATCGAATTAAGGGAGAAAACAAATAAACTCTACTCACATGTGATATGGAGTCCAGGAATCGAGCCCTGGACCCAAGACAGGTGAAGGCAAGTGTGAGGGCACCCTCAATTCCCATATTTTCACTTTTAATTGTCAGTAGAAAGTCATGCTGCCACATAACTCTTTCCCCCCTCCTCTTCTCTCTCAATAGCAACCTTCATAATGAGACTGGTATCAATAATACACAGCAATAAAATGAAATTCCCAGCATAAACTTACTTCATTTTTACTAAAGGCTAACGAATACAGACAAGACTTATTTTTCCAGTTGAAATGGTCATTATTGATCATCTCTCCAGAACGTCCATTTGGGTCAGGTATCTTAGGCAGACGACCCCATTCATCACCATCCAGGATCTGATAGTAGAACTGATAGCTCATTGGCTCTTCAGGGACACTGTTCCATGCATGCTCAATATTTTCTTCCTCTTCCCGTGAAGAATAGGCATCTTTACGTTCAGGTAGGTACGGCCAGTGAGGAGTAACCATACAGTTTAGAATAGCCACTACAGTTTTCTGTAGTACAAGAAAATAAATATATTAAGAACTTTCAAGATTGAGAAGATTTACATAAGAGTTGAAAGGGAAAGAGGGAGGGAAGGCAGGAAGGAGGGAGGGAGGGAGGGAGGGTGGGGAATAGGTAAGTGGTAGGTGTGTGTAGGAAGGTAGATGGGTGAGTGAGTGGGTAGGTAAGTATTGGTAGGTTCATGTAGGTAGATAGACAGGCAGGCATGAAGTAGCTAGGCAGTAAGGTAATGTAGGTAGGTGGTAGCAAGGCAGTAGGTAGGTAGGTAGGTAGTTATGAGGGTAGGCATGAAGGTAGAAAGGTAGGCATGAAGGTAGAGAGGTAGGCAGCTAGTGAGGGTAACCTTGGCTTAGCAATCCAGTATTTTTTCTGGTAGCATTCTTGCATTTATAATTACAAGCTCATTACCTTCATGACTGGACTTTCAATCAGCCTTTTGAAACTGAAATTCCCTGGATGTTCTTGATCTTCACACAGAAAAAGCTGTTGAACTCTGATGACAAATGAAACACAAAGGAAAAATTTAGGATTACCTGTCAGACACTGTTAACATGTTAATAATCACACAGCCTTTTTACAGTGTGGAAATATGAACAAAGGCAGCCCATGAGGCAAGGAAGAGCAAACAAGTCCACACCCACAAATAGCCCAAGATATAATTTGAACTCCAGAAACCAAAAGCTATGTGAGACAAGTACGAGCCATGTCCCGAGAACCCAATTATCCTAATATCATACCTTTCATGTTTCATCCTACTAATCAAGAATGCAGACACTGCGTCATTCTCATTGATCAAAGCAAGTTCCACAGGAAGGTACCTCCGATGAACACTGTGTGCCTTTGAGGTGATGTAAAGTAGCCCTGGAAAATGGTCCAGTAAGGTCCTACATACACTGACATAATTGAGCTCTGCTGTTAAATGTACCAAAGTTTTGTGAGTGGGGTCATCTTTATCTCTGAAATACTTGTAATCTACTCCTGTCTCTTGGCCAAGGATGATTTCAGCCAGTCTGTTGATCTATTTAGCGGAAATGGGAAAAACCCATAGAATTTTTAAAATCTCTTATATAGATTTCTTTTTTTATATCATGGGATTTACCATAAGCTAGTGCCATACTTATGCAAACTTCTCCTCAAAGGTTTAAATGAAATACTAATAAATCGAGGGCCATATCCAATTTTAAAGGGATGTATGTTACTTTAAAAATTAGTATCTAACATATGTTAGGGGGTGGCTTCCTATCAATAATCTACCCCTTTCATTTTTTCATATAATTTTTTATATTTAATATAAACTAAGTTTGTTTTTTTTATCTCATAGATAGGATTTATCAAAAGAAAGTGCCCCTCAAAACTTTGATAAAATACTAAATAAAGCCAGGGCCATATCCAATTTTTAAGGGGGGTGTGACTAGTCACCAACAATCCTCCCATCAGAAGTAAACAAAGGACTAGATAAACAGAGATTATTTGACTGCTATGTATTTTTAATAATAAGTTTTGCTACTCTTCCCTCCCTCCCTTTCTCCTTCTGCCTTCATTTTCCCTCTCCCCCCCCCCCCCCCCCCCCCCCCCCCCAAGAAACTCCCCCCCTCCAAGAAACGTATAGTCTTTATGGTTAGTCTTCATATTAACAAGAACTGGATTTATCAATAAAACTGTCATAATTACATGATGTTCCAGTGCAGCTTTTAAGCTTGGATTTTCTCTGTACTTTTTCATGTTTGGCCATCTCTTCAGCATGACTAGAAGAGGGGCTTCAGACAGCTTCGCTCCACTGTTTTCATACTTCTCTATCAAATGCTCCACCTGAACCACATCCATAGCATGATTCCAAGAGATGTCTGTTTCATTGTACGTATTTCTGACCTAAATTATATTATTTGATGAATAAGACTTAATTGGGATTGAATTGTATGTTAACTAGGTAAAGGGATCTCATGAATCTTAATTTTTTATAACCAACTTTAAGTGAAGGGCAAACACTCCACAATACTCTGAATTATCAAAGTACATTTAAACTGAAAACTTGACATTCAACAATGTTGTGACTTTGATCAGCCCAGATGTTTTCTCAAGGTATTGAGGAATCAACCGACCGAACCCAGAAATAAGGAGATACTACCCTTGAATTTCCTCCTGGTAAGATGCTCCATAAAAACAGATATATAAACCCTCCTCAACCTCCCCACTTCTAAGAAGTCTGAGTGGAGGATTGTCATGCTAGGCACAAAAGACACTGAAATCTGCACAGGTGATATAATTTTTCTGGTTCTAAGCCAAAGATAATGAAACTTGGCAAAATCCAAGAACAAAATATTCTCAGAAACTGTTTCTTTTTAGATTTTTAGATTTCTTTCATTATAGCAGGAAAATGAAATCATCAACATGTTATGAAAAATTAAACTTTACGCTATGAAAATTTCATTGCATGGATTTAAAAGATCTCGATGAACAAAGCTCATTACTGCAATCCAAATGAGAATTGCATGCGTTGGTCCAAAAATGTGAATTTTGGAATACCAGTTATTCAGCCATTTTGTTACTATTTTTTTAAAAAGACCAGTAGATATATGTTTTAATGTTTAAAAAATAATAACTTTCAACATTGCATACAATCTGGTATGGATGCATGATCATGTATTCCAGAACCATCAAAACACTAAGAAAACGAACTGGAAATCATCGTAAAACTATATCTATCTTTCTTAACAATACAATAACTTAGGCACCAAAAGATATTGCTTAAATCTTTAAAAGTTAAAATTTCAGTTTGAAATGAGAAAATGTTCCTATGTACGCTATATAATAAAATGAAAATAATTACATCTGCTACAATTATTTTAGATGGCCTAAAGAGAGACATCTGTCGCGTCTACTGATAAAAAAATATTAAACCCTGAACAACATGTAGTCATTATGCATTAATAATCTTGACCTTGACAAGTTAGAATAATGTTATGAATTTACACTTTTTTCAAGCATAAATAATTCTTAGAGCAGTAAAAAATCGAATTTCTTATAGGTATAGGATTAATACTCAGATAATTACTTAACAATTATTCTCCGAAGGCAAAGTGATTATCGGGGAACATTTACCAAGACACGAGTCTTCGAGCAGCGAGGTAAATATTCCCCAATAATCACTGAACCTGAGGCAAATAATTGTTTTAGTATAAATACACAGGTGATTCTTTCAAAAAAATTTAAAAAAGAAGATAAAAGACATTTTTTTCCAGTAACAGCAACAAAGCAGCTGGCCACCATTTTGGATTTTTACTCTAGGTGATTATCGTGTGAGTTTCTTGACCAATCAGCGTGCGATATTTTCTATAATCACCTGCATATTTTTACTAAAATATCAATAGTGCCGGGTAAAACGACTTTGATGCTGAGCTATATAAAGATGGTCTCCACTTTTAGTCTTTATCATTCAAATGTAATTTTTCTAGCCCCCCTAAATATCAAGGGGCAAAGTATGTGACCTCCCCCTTTAAAACTCCCATAGCCCCCCCCCCCCCCCCCCCCACCCCCCCCTACATAAATAAAGAAACCTCTCTAAGNCCCCCCCATCCCAGTCACCACTACATAAATAATGAAACCTCTCTAAGTATTTCTCATCGCTTGACTCCTGGATTGTGGTTTATTACTGTACTTTGTGTTTTAAGATATGTTTACAACACTGCAACGCTTGCGTGAATATCATAAATTGACCTTTAATTGAAAAGCAATTTGCACCACAATAATGAGACTTAATGTCACATGTCATCCTGTAGACCACACCTTTAAAGCTCGACTGGCATCAGACTCTTTGCATTTTGATTCATTATCAACTAAAATATACCGAATGTTTAAAGCATTATTTAACAATTTATATTTAAGCTTCGGTTTACTACAAACAAATATTAACGATATTAACAGCAGACGTTTCCTAGTGGCTACAGACATTTCACTAATCTAAAATTTAGAAAATATTCCTCGAGGGTCATCTCTTTGACTTTTGGTTTATTGCAGAGACATCTGTATACCACGAATCAGAATAAATAATCCTTACCTTTATCCAGAATTCTTCGTCAAAGTTATTCCCAATATCGTCTGTGTGATCAGTGCTTTCTTTTACAGGACTTTCTCGCTTCCCTTCACCTCTTTCCGTCATTTCTAGAGCAGAATACGAAGCATCGCGAGCTGCCATCTTAAGAATTAAAATTATTTTCGTCCTACTTGTTTACAGTATGCAAATCTACGCTCACTTCTGGTAATTATTCATGACTATAAAAGGTGATAATAACGAGTTAATTTTGTGTTTTTATCATAGAAAATTAAATAAATTGTAACATAAATGTGGAGCCATTGAAGATCAGCAGTCAATCGAAAATATTGGCTCACATGGTCAGCGGACTTTGATCCGGAAGTATTTGTGTTAACACAGGAAGCCCAGAGACCCAGGCCTTTTTTCTAAAAGATTTTTTTTTTGCTCGAGTTTTTATGGATTTTGTTGGACCTTTCACCCCATTTCTTCTCCTTCTCGTGCACAACGTCAGTTAAGTCCAAGTCTGTCCAAATCTCGTTCGATATTTTTTCCGTTAGCAAATCGGGACGTCAATTCTGATTACGACTGCCTTCCGAGGGTAATTTCGGCGGGAAACCGATGGATGCACAGTAAGCCCAGCAGGATTCATCCTACTTTCCCGCCGAAACCTATGAAAGTTTGAAAAAAATTCGAGACGATAAATGGAGGTAGTCTATCCACACATCAATCCTAATTTACCACGAAGAGAAGACAAAGTTCAGTAAGGGAATAGTCCCACATCCCRTGCTGGTGGTGATTTAGCTAACGGGCTTTTTTTTTCTTTCAAGATGACCTATTGTTGGAAACACGAGTGGCGTATCAGAGAGATCGCTCGCCTCTCACCAATTTGACTCGGGCTCAATACCCGAATTTGGTTTTGTATGTAATTATTYAATTGCAAATCATGGGAGAGAAAAAAAGTTTTGTAATCCTTTTATTATCCATGGTAGAGTTGTTGCTGGTTCTTTCCTGTGCTTCGAGGGTTTTTCCCCTGGTTCTACCTGAGTTTTTCTCAATAGAGGGACTTAGCTCGCAGTCTACTGCCAAAAGCGTGACACCAGCTGACAGGACCGAGGAGAAAGTAGTCAGGAAATCAGACAATACAATGAAAGTAAACAAACTTTATCAGTATAGGATATATCTTCGTACTGCATGAATTATCTCAATATACTTAAAATTTGAAAGAACAGAGGAACTATTTTAAATATTACGGAGAAGGTAATCTTGAAAAAAGTCGTCGCGCGTGGTTTTTGAACATTTGTTTTTTAGTCGCGCATTCAAGGGCGTGTGCAGGGAGAGTTCCAGGGGTTCTGGAACCCCCCTTCATGGTAAACAAACATGAACTTTTATTTGCCAAGTTAGTGATAGTCCAACAGCTTGTTCCACTTATTCGAAACAAAAGCTCCTGTATAATTTTGCAGTTGATCGGTGTTGATCACCTAGTTTTGAATTCAAGAGCCAATCGCCATAAGAAATCTGGAACCCCCATCCCCCCTCAAGAAACGTCTGGACACGCCCCTGGCATTATATTATTAAGGCACTTGTTTTCTTTTGAGCCATCGCAGCGGGGGTGAATGGTTAATGAAGTCAGTACAAGGGTCCAGTTCTCTGCCATTAAGGCCATCAGTGACGTGAGAGGAACAGCACGATCAACAGTGCAACAAGAATTGCTCTAGTATTTCTCCTAATTTACATGACAACGACCTTATAGAAAGTTCGATTCAAAGACGCCAAAACACTTTGCCTTTTTTACTTAACTTTTCAAATGGAATTTCACCTTTTCTGAGTATATTTTCAACCATGAAATAGTCCTCTTTCCGCTTCTGAATTAAAAGAAACTGGAACAGAAACTATAGACAATTTACCGTGCACACCAGGCCTCGTTGCATTATTCACTCTGATATAATAACGGACATTCGAGTAGAGAGTCAAAGATTTGTATCTTTTGCTTTGTTCAGAAAGCAGACAAAATATCTGTATAAAAATAGCGAATTAAAATTTTAAATGCTTTAGGTTGGGTATTATCAACGGAGTCAAGAACGAAAGGAATCATAACTGGTGACATTTGTCCACGCTCGGAACAAAGGGGAGAGACATTTTCCATTGAAGAAATGAGATCAATAATTCTGACTCTAGAATGATTTGTAATTCATACATTTAACACACGAATTTGGCCCCGAAAAAACGGAACACTAAACAACGAGGACTTTGCGAGTTGATATTGTATTAAATTGCGTCCAATCCTGACACTAACCTGGGCACAAACAGCAAAAAGTTTGCAGCAACACTTGACCTATCGTCATCATGTTACGACTGATACTGTAAGCACTGATTTCTGCCACAGAAGTTAATGGAATTTATACTATTGAAGAGTGCTTTCTGGATTCTCGTAAGTAAGACTTTTGACTGTATCCTAGTGAATGCTTGAAGTTTATTTATACCTTCTAAAAATAATTTCTTTTTAGCCGTTGAAAATCCACTATTTTTCAGTTCGATAGGATGGATACTCATCTTTGTCTAAAATTAAAACAAAAAAGTATCGATTAAAGGCTTTAACTTTAAATATTTAAAAATTTCACAGAAAGATTAAACTTCATTGTTTTAGACCATTTAAGAAGAAGCCAAAAAGTTTAACATATTTTCTCTCGGGGCTCTTTGATATTCCAAAGATATTCTCATGCATGGAAATATTTTTGAATAATCTTTATTGAAATCCCTTGCAAATAGTTATTAGTGGGTATCAATAAAAAGATAAATCCTTTTCAAGCAGACAACCAGAATACGAAGTACTAAACTTTGCGTCTCTTAGGAGCCAGAGAAAAATGTTCATTAAGAGAGTTCAAAAATATTTTAAAATAATTATCATTTTCAGCTCAAACGTAATTAAGTTTTACGAGTTCTTTTACCGAGGAAACACTCAAGAAATGTAGCATAATGTTATTTTCTTTAAGTGAATGCTTCAATCAGCATTTTCATTTCAAGAAAATAATACTGGGAGTCCGCTTCGTGGTTTTTCGAGTGTTCCTCATATAATTTCATCAGTGCAGAGGAAATTTTAATTCAGGCTCAAAGCACTGGATCCTAATTTTAGTATGGTGTGTTTAAAAAGTTACTTTCAAACGAAAGTTTATAGGCTATCGCAAAGACAAGCTAAGTCGGATAGTTAACATTGTTTATCTCTATCTTTATTCTTAAAGCCATTGGATATAACACGGAGTGGAATATGACTGATCAAAACCTATTGGCACCGTTTCTTATTCAAAAATTTGATAACTAGTATAGCCTAAGAAAGAATCATATAATGAATCATTAAAAGAGAAAATGTGAAGTAATTTATTATTAAAGTGAATTAGCTAAAAGGGTTCTTAATAAATAATAATTCGAGCCCTTTTCAGTCCTTCGACTCGATGGTTGTGGATGTTATTAGGCCCATTATAGCTAGCGCCATAATTAACTGAGGGTGAAGTCGAACTGGTAACACCGTGCAGGGGCGGATCCAGGATTTTGTTCAGGGAGGGGTGCTGTGCACAAAGTTAACCCAGGGAGGGTTGCACCCCTTAGAATCAAAGGGAAAAAACAGTATTGGTTATCTTCGAAGTAGGGCACAAAGTCGAACCAGGGAGGGGTGCGCACCCCTTGCACCCCTCCCCTGGATCCGCCCCTGCCGTGGAAGTTATCATCTGTTGTGCATAGTCATTCTTGTACGTCTTCCAAACCATACGAAAGAGTTTCACCGAAAACCGTCAGCGAAACTGCTTTTGCAAAATTAAATGATGTAAAATAATAACTCTATAAATCTTATTAAAGAAACAAATTACGGTTTGAAAAGTTTTTCTGATGATCTGATCCAAGCCCCTTTGTCTTTATTTGGGACATATATGATCTTCCTAATATAGTGAAAGGGAACTCCTGATCTTTGATTGGCTGAGGCATGCTACCTTTCTGTGAGCGGGAAAACTCGGCTGATAACATATCTTCCAGATTCAGCTTTATTATCATTACTATTATTAGCATTTAGATTTCCAGTATACTAGTTACAAGATTTAAAACAGATCGGAAAGAGCTTATTTTACATAATTTTTCTTTTGCCGGTTTGGTTTCAAGAAATAAATTTAACTATATCAATTATGTATGTTGAATTCTTCCAGGAAAAAATTCATGTATCGCAAATGTGTCAACACTTGTTTTCATTCAAAATGGCGGCCTCCGCGCGCGTAGTTCATTGACCTTGGCTCGAAGCAAGTGCATTTTCAATTAAGATATTTTGGCGATAACCACAGCTGATCGTTTTTGAGGTTATCAATACTTAACTCTCTCAGGCTTACGTGACTATTATTCTAAAACACCCAGTTACTTAACTTCACTTTTCCCACTTTCTGATTAAGATGTTACGCTTACAACATTGTCCCCGCCGTATATCTTTCAAGAGTTGTTTTACTCAATTAAAAGTGAGGTGGATTGGAGAATAAAAGAGAAGTTTTTTGACCACAAATAACAATTTCGTTAACCTAAGAATTCATTTGACTTGATAACCAATCGACACTCGCAACTTTACGAGTATTCGAATTAACGTTGTTCGCACTTTCGAATCTACTCGTGCAAAAATAGAAAGCAAAATAATAAAAGGGGTACCAAAAAGAGCCTAAATACTTGTGGCTGGAGCCTAATTTAATCAAGGAAACCTGTCATTAGTCTGTTATTTTTGTGTTTTAAGTTTAGAAGGAGATGCAATATCTAAGAGATTTCTCGCACGAGGCAAATCAACTTCCCGCAGCCTAGAATGCTCTTTATTAAGAAAAAAACCCTCATAATGACGACATGAACATAGTCGCCATTTATTTATATACTTATTTAGGAAGGCGTATATTAATGCAGTCACGGATAAAGAGATGGAAGATTTTGACGACTGATTTTTCCCTCCATCACTGATGGTACGATTACATATCTGGGCGATCGAGAAAGCAAGAGAACAAACATCAGAACCAAGGTGATTTTGTCAGGTCATACGTTCGATAAGTTCCTTTTTAATATCGCATATTAGCTTAGAGCTAAGGAATAATCATAATATTCACGGGAAATACAGTCAAAATTGTGATAGATGACAGAAGATTAGCCTTATTTACTGCTCATTGAGCTGTGCTTGATATATGAGCTCACCTCTAATACCAGTATAGATAAAAACATCCCTTGATTCAAGAGAACCTAATATCCGAATTTCATCAATATCACTTACCTTTTTCCCCTTAAGATTTTAATGTCATTCCTGTTTATTCCAATTTGTCCTTATATCTATTTTCAAAATTCACTTTTTCGGCTCTCCTATTACGTTGGCTACTTCAATTTTAATTTCTCAGGTTCTTATTTTCTTACCGATACATTTCCGTATTTTATTCGTCGCTCTTTGACGCTCATTTTCGTTACTCATTTTCGAAAACAGTGTAAAAAATTCATTAAAAATCAGATAAAATTAGTACTAATAAAACACGCTTTTTCTATTTTGATTTTCTAGTAAAAGTTTTCTTTGGATCATTAGGAATATATCTTATACTGCTTTATCAATGCGAGATATGAGAATGCATTTCTCCAAATCCAACATCATAGCCATTGGAAAGATTCCACAATACAACACCTTTGTATTCAACATTTATTGCCCCAGTTTGGTATGAATATCAATAGCTATTCATAAATATTATTCAATCTCGATATAAAGCAACTTCCAAACGATGTAACCAAATGATCTTCAGCTCTCACTCAAGCAATACTATCAAACGAATCGGCGTGTGCCAAAAATGCTCCACGCGAAAGAATTGACTTCAATGGTAAGTAATTGACTGTACATCAAATGTTTTTTTTTACTATATTCTAAAGACTTAAACATAAGTCAAATTATTTTAGATAAGCGAGCCCCGGCCTTTTTTTTTTTCCATTTAAGAACAAAATTCACGTAAAAAGTTTTTTTTTTTTTTTTAGAAAAGCGAATCTATTTAATTTAGTCGCACGATGAGTGATAACACATCGCAAATGACCATGTTTTTTTTTGGTAATATTGCAAAACACAAAATCCAAAGGCAAAATTGTTGAATATTTCTCTCGAAATTCGATTTAACGACATATATCCATTCACGGCAAAATCAATAGAATCAATTTTCTTGTGTACTTTAGGATTGTTGCTTCAATATTTGACTTTCTATCTCGGACATTTCATCGTGATAAAGAAACCTTCCATCATTTGTGGTTTTATTACCGCGCAGTTATTGATATTTTAGAGGTGATTTTGGACTGAACAGTTAAAGTACTATGTTATGATGTCTGGATTCTTTCGTATTTTGAGTTTGCATAATGTTTCCTTGAAGTGTAGAAAATATAATTTTAGTTGATGCTGGAGATCCGAGATTTCGCTTCATTTTTTCTATGTTATTTTACTGATATGGCTTTCATCGAGGTTGTCGATATCGTTTCGATGCACATGAATTAAGAGGAAAGGAAGGGAAATCAAGGAGCGAAAGGAATAAATGGAAAATGAATGGAAGAAATGTGGAAAAATTAAAAGAATAAAATGGGATTAAAAGAATAATTAAAAGAACTATAGAATGAACCAATCGTGCTAGAAGGAAGTGGATGGATGGATGGATGGATGGATGGATGGATGGANTGGATGGATGGATGGATGGATGGATGGATGGATGGATGGATGGATGGATGGATGGATGGATGGATGGATAAAAAACATAACATGACAAAGGTTAAGGATAAGAAAAGAAAAGAAAAGAAAAGAAAAGAAAAATTGAAAATACGAAAGTTTTTAAGTGGTGCGGCGACATTTTTTTCATCTCGACAAAACAAATAGAAAGTACAAGTTCCAGATAGCGCGATATGGGAAGCCATTAAAGCAAAACTCATGATCTTGAAACCACATCTTCATATACCCGGCTACCAGCATGACACACATCATTCGTGTTATCACAAAATATTTCCTTGAACGTTAAAAATACTATCCACGTAACTGATAGAAAACCACTGCTTAATTCTTCTTTAAAACAAAACCAAATTTTGAAATAGTATCATCTATTTTCCTTAGATCTGTCACTCAATGTCAAATATATATCAATCAAAAAAATTCATTTTTATTCTTAAATCAAAGGGTGTTGCTTTTTCTAACAAGCTTGCGAGCCTAACTTGAACGAAATACTAAATTTTGGCTTTGTTTTTCACACACTGTTAGAACCTATAATCTCGACGCAAAAGAAAATGTTGTCAAGTTATGGTTAAGTAACGTCACTACAATCCTAATCAATATTCCACGTAGTACACGATAGGGTAGTGGGCCGTTAGAAATCTAGAATTTAAGGCATTTCACCGCTAAATAAAGTCGACATTGACTAATTTCCA